CAAACGGATACGCTCGGAAATGTTTTGATAGGTCTTGTGCTATATATGATACACGTACAAATGAACATCTTTGAGCATGGAGTCTCCATTTGAATGATTCGCGGTCCATATCAGTACGAATACAAAAATTTACAAAGTCTTCCTTTTGAAGATCAAGAAATTTCGGGGCCTGGATAAGACTTTTTAATATCCTTTCGCCCCTTTTTAATTGACATAGGCCCAAGTCATCTAGTAAAATGAGGATGATGCATCAGGAATGGTCGGGATAGCTCAGCTGGTAGAGCAGAGGACTGAAAATCCTAGTGACACCAGTTCAAATCTGGTTCCTGGCACATGATTCATTTGTATAAGTATCTGGTTTCTACAAATTAATTGATATGGATCGACATATATATTTATTCATTAATATCAATAGTCTAGATCAGAATCCACTATATACTTTTTTTATCCATCTAGGTGTGACGTATACCCCTCTATTTTATAGATGGGTAAAGTATTTTATAGTTTATAGGTGGGTAAAGAATTTCTTATATAAGGAAAGAATTTGATTTTATTTCCTTTTCTTTTTTTTATTTATCCTCTCGTTCAAAAAAACGTTAATACTTTATACACATATGCATATTCGACGGGTTAAATTAGTTGGTTGTAAAATCTAGTCTAGAAGAGTTGAAGGATGGGAATAGACAAGATTCAGTTCAGATACAGTACAAATAAATAGAATTGGATCCTCTTTCATTTCTTTGTATTTTCTTTCATAGTCTAGTTCTTTATTCATTCCTACATGACTTTTTAGAACCCATCTAGGCGATGTGCGCGGTACAAAGTTCATGATGTAGAACTCGTTTGGTTTATCCTATTGGCTTGGCTCACCCTAAATAAGTATCTTCCAAATTTGAGAATCCCAATGAATCCCTAATTTTATTATCTTTTATTTTATTTTTGTTAGCCCATCCCTAATACAAATGAGACTTCAATTACTCTGTTTAATCTAGAACTAAAAAAAAGGTACAATCCTTGAATATCTAGAATTGTATACGTGAAGATTAGTTCCGTATCATTCAATGAGCATCTTGTATTTCATAAAAATTAGGGGAAATATAATCCTTACGTAAAGTCCACCCATTAAGATACGTTTCAAGCGTGGATGATTATAATAAGAGATTCCCAACATATCATAAGATTCCCGTTCTTGAAAATCCACACTTTTCCAAACCCAGAAAAAAGACGGAATTCTAGGATTCCTCCTTGGGGCAAATACTTTTATGCATACCTCTTCCGGTTGATCCACACCATATTCTATTTTCGTAAGATGATACACACTAGCTAACAGCCCGCCTGGTGCTACATCATATGCACATTGGGAGCGTAGATAATTGTAAACATATACATATAAAATGACAGCAATGGAATGCCAATCCTCAGGCTTTATTTGTAAAGTCTCTATTCCTCGGTAATCAAAGCCTAAAGATCTATGAATTAGCCCATGCTTGACTAGCCAAGCAGACAAACAACCCTGTATCTTTTTTATCTCTCCTGCATTTTTATTTGTATAAGTAGTTCATATTGACGATGAAATTAATGATGAGTGACCCGTTACTTGTTATTCTATACAAATGAATCTTGTCTAATTCACTAATTCGTGGGAAGATACTGAACTTTTGTATTTGAAAAATGTTTCAGGAAGGATCTCAGAAGTAGATGGCGGTTGATAAAGTAATCCTTAATTATAATTTCCAGTATGAATACTGCGTTCAACATGAAATTTGTGATTGGTAGTAAAACACCGATTCTCCTGGTGAGACCTAATTCTATCTTCATAGATTTCTTGAGATATTTTCTTATGAAGTTTTGTTATAGCATCTATAACTGCTTCCAGTTTTGGTGGACAGCCCGGTAAATAGACATCCACATGAATTAGCTTATCAACTCCACGAACAGTACTATAAGAATCGGTACTAAACATTCCCCCTGTAATTGTACATGCTCCAATAGCAATAACATATTTTGGTTCCGGCAGTTGCTCATATAATCTCACTAAAGAAGGAGCCATTTTCATTGTTACTGTTCCGGCTGTTAAAATCAGGTCTGCTTGTCTAGGACTCGATCTTGGTACTAGTTCGTAACGATCAAAGTCGGATCGTGAGCCCATTAGTGAAGCAAATTCAATGAAGCAACAATTGGTACCATAAAGAAGCGGCCATAAACTAGAGAGTCTTGACCAATTTGAAAGATCATTGGTTGTAGTTGAAATAACAGAATTTGGGGTTGTTCGATCAAGTACGGGAAAGTCAATAGAATTCATAACCATCTCAATCGTATTTTTTTTTTCTTTTTATTGTCTTAATATTCAGGAGCTAAGACCATTCCAATGCCCCCTTTCGCCATGCATAAATTGAACCAACAATTAAGATAAGCACAAAAATTAAAGTTTCTATAAATACGGATACACCCAATACATCGAAACTCATTGCCCATGGATAAACAAAAACCGTTTCAACAT